CAAGACTTTTGTAACCTATCTGCCTAATTACATGTTTTATTCAAATGAGCTTTAATTTATGAAAATGCAGAAATGTGAAAGAGGCAGTTGTTGTTATTGTTTGCCGTCGAGTTGCCCCCAGCTCATAGCCACCCCTCCTTGCGTTTCTGAGGCAGTATCACTACGGAAGTAGGACTGCCCAACCTTCCTTCCGAGGAGTGGCTGGTGGGTTTGAACCGCCAGCCTTCTGGTTAGCAGTCAAGTGCCTTAGGCACTATGTTACCACAGTAGTCAAAGAAAATGTAAAAAATATTCTATACCAACAGTGTTTCTTAAACTGTTAGAAGCATCAGGATTTCATTTCCTTTAAAAGTTTTATTTCCCTTAGAACTGGTAAAACAGCATCTGTACTTGATTCCTAATCCAATGCCCATTGAAAATAGGAACTATATAGCCACCTTCCCAATTAGATAGCCCCAGAAACAGTTTTTATAGCTCATTCATGCAAATGTTTATTTTCCCAATAAAATGATTCCTCTTATAGTTCAAGATAATAATCGCTCACACTTAGATGATACTTATTATATATCAAGCACTATTCTAAGCAGTTACATAATTTATCTCACTTAATCCTCATAACAATCCTGTAAAATAGGATAACTGTAATTATTTCCATTTTACAGATCATGAAACTGAAGCTCATGGGTAATTCTTAACTAGAATTACTTTTCTTTTCAGACACTTGGTGATTAAATTTCAAACACTGGCTAAATTAGTCATATATGAATTCTAATTGATTTAGAATATGGGAAATAGGGATAGATATAATCAACATCAGTGCAAAGCTTTCTTAATGAATATAAAGTCAATTTTCCTCAATTATGCTACATTTCATCACTAGCAAAGAGTAGTAAAATGTCTTAGACTTGTTCTTAAAGGATATCTGATTGATAGCTCCCAAAACTCTTTTAAACGGAACAAGAAGCAGAAAAAAATAGGGTAAATTCTACCTCCCTTCCCTACCTCCTGAAGAACCCTAGCAGCACAGTGGTCAAAGCACTCAGTTGCTAACCAAAAGGTTGGAGGTTTGAACTTACTAGCAGCTCTGCAGGAGAAAAGACCTGGTGCTGCTCCTGCAAAGATTTACAGGCTGGGAAACCCTATGGGGCAGTTCTACTCTATAAGGCTGCTGAGCCAGAACAGACTCACCAGCACAAAACGATGAGAACCCTACCTCCCAGCTATTTGTTGTTTTAGTTCTTTTAAAGCTTTCATATCATGCTAAAGTTACTGCTTTAAGAAACAACTCTGCTGGGCACCAAAAGGATAAACTGATAGCTAAACTGCCAGGGAAGAGGAATGACTTTTTAGTGGGGGACATGGCTCCTTGGAAGCCACCCAAAACGCCCTAGCTTAATTTATCCAAATCTAATCTGTTCATCTATGCATCAAAGCCAGCCACAAGGGACTCTCTCTTCCCTAAGTTCTGAAGGTAGGTGCCATACAATTTCAGCTATCTTATGTCAAGATACTACTCATAACTCTCTTGTGCTTATCTCCCCAAACAGGTTGTAGCATCTTTCATCACTATCTTCTAAGTACCAAGTGAGCATCGTATTGACTACAGACATCGCAAAAATTTAATAAATACTTGTTCCATTACACTTTGGGGCTTACTCTATGTAGACATTTGCACAGAGAATAGATGAGAAACTCCTTCATGCTTGATTCACTCTTTGGCAATTGGGAAAATAGCTCTTCCATGAGCACTTACTTCTGTTTGTCTGCAGTGACATGGGAAAATAACTAAGAGTTCTATAGCAATCCAGGCCCTTTTCATTTGGTCAAACAGAAATAAACCAGAACTGGATTACTGACTCCTCCCTTCATTCTAAAGCAAGCAGAGCTCTCTCCCATCCTCATTGTGATGTACCTTCCTTATTATGTGATTCTTTATTTTAATCAAGAATTCTTTAATTCTGGTGTCACTCTACATGTAAACCAAAAAAAAAAAACTCACTGCCATCGAATCGAATCCAACTCACAGCGACCCCTCCTTGGGTTTCTGAAGCAGTATCACTACAGAAGTAAATTGCCCAATATTCCTTCCGAGGAGTGGCTGGTAGATTTGAACCACCAGTCTTCTGGTTTGCAGTCAAATGCCTTAGGCACTATACCACTAGATGTAAAGTAGTCATTATATTTATAACTGGCCAGCAGTCAAGGCCACAAAATGTAGTAATACTTGCTGAATCCAAACTTCCAATATTTCTATTTCTGTAGTCAGAGGGAGTCATAAAAATGATTGTAAAGTCAAGTGGCCAAATTAACACTGCAAATTATAAACAGCTAAATATTTTATGTAATTCATCCAAAATCATGAAAAGGACTGCCGGAGTACATGGTGAGCTCTCATTATTAAGGTCTTTAAAAAAAGGCTCAATGGCCATATGCTAGGCGATGCTGAAAGAAGTAAATCAGTCTGACAAGGGGTCGAGCTAGACGACATTCCTCCAAGATTCTAGAAAGCTGAACTTGCAGAAAGCACAGGACAGCATTTAATGTATTCCAGGCCATCAGTGCTTTTATATAGGTAGTCCCAGCACTCCTGTCATCTGCATATGGGCTACCAAGTTACTGTTATCAAAGACAGGGATCATGAAGAGACAGATCTCAGAGAACTACATAACTCATTTGAAATACAAGTTCATAAAAGGATTACTAAGGACATAAAATATTGTATGCACTATCAAAACGTGTGATGGTGTTTTATGGCGAGGGGGCATAAGAGGAAGCGTCTGTTTTGCAGTTTGGGTGCAGAATGCTCCTACTTTTGTCTAATTTGCTTTCAAGCTATCAATTGATAACCACCACCAGGTGGCCTGGAGGTCCCTGAGATTTCTTCTTTATCAGCAGTCTCTCTTTTTTAGTTCTAGATTGAAGTTACAGGAATTTATGGAGAAAAGCTCTGTTGCTCCTTTGTTCAGGCTAATGAGGAAGAAACAACAATAAAGTCAGGTCCTAGTACAAATTTGCAGAGATTTTTGGAGCACATCCAATTTCAATAGCGACTGCATAATGTACAGCAGCAGGGCAGAAATCAATATACCTGAAATTAGGATAGCAAGTATCCTCAGTGTAAGCTAAAAACTGGTAGTCATAGTATCCATACTTTAGCTCTAAAAGTTCAGACTTAGTCCCTGATATTTTAAAGGTCTCCTGTCACTAAGTGACGTCTTCCAAAACCCTACTATACAGTCATGCAGTCTTAGTTTTTGGGTTATTATTTCAGTTTGTGGAAAGAATCTGCTTGTGATTTCCCACAGTTGTCAGTGGTTTTAGATTCTTGCTCAAACATCACAGAAACATAGATTACGTTCTTCATAGGATCCATCTGGAGCTCCCAAATTTGCTTCTCGGGCTTTACCGACTGTTCAGGATGCCTCCTCATAAGAAGGTTGGCGCGTGGAAAGATAAATGAAAGGAGTTCGGGGGCTTTCATGAAAAGTGGAGGGAGGTAGAAAAGAAGGGTGTCAGTGCTGTATGGGTGACAGACACTCTCACCTATGAGCGAAAAGGCAGCCCCACTCGGGAAGCTGCAGCTGGAAAAACAGGTCCTTCAGCTCTCAGGGCCCCGGATCTCCAGCGCTGGAGGTCGCTAAGGACCCACGCAACTCACAGGCACCACAGCCCTAGACCTCAGGGACCACCGCCCTCAGTTTCAAGGCCAGCCAGAGGCACCCGATCACATTCCCACTCCTGGCCCGAACTCACAGCCAGTTTCCTTCTTGATCTCTTCGAGCTCTTCGTCCCGCAGTAACGTGGAGGCCCGAGACCCCATCCCCGAGCCGGGAGCTACTCCAGGAGCAGCAGCGCCTGAAACGGTGGTGAAAGAGGGAGGGAAGAAAGAAAGGAAGGAAAGGCTAGGGGTCAAGAAGGAAGAGGGCACTGTTTCTATTGCGGACCGGGAAGAAAACCCAGGGGTGGTGCGCGGAAGAGGGCGGACCCAGGGAACAGCCAATCAAGAACAAGGCTACGCCCTGCGCAGGAGCTACGTCATTGCTTCCAGCCCCAGCCGCGGAAAAAAATCAACCAGGCGCCCTCCCAGGTCCGGCTGAGAATGGACTCCGCCCCTGGAACCGCGGCTGCCACCGGCCTTAAATGGGCAATGCCATTCTGGTGCCAGCGACTACCATTAAAAGGGCAACGCCATTGACGCGCTGTCTTACAATATACTAACCTGCAGTAGCTCTGGTGGCGTAGTGCGCAAGGCATTTTGACTGCTAACCAGAAGGCTGGGGGTTCAAACCACTAGCCATTCTTCGGAAGGAAGGTTGGGCAATTTACTTCCGTAGTGACACTGCCTTGGAAACCCAAGGAGGGGTCGCTATGAGTCGGATCCGACTCGATGGTAATGGTGGGTGGGTAACCTGCAGTAGACTGCATAGACGTTATAACCTGTTTCTCGCAGGACTCCCACTATATAGATGAAGTGGATTGTGGAAAGAAACAAAAAATAGCTAGATAAAAAGTTGGTTTGAGGGAAATCCTAAAGTGTGCCCCTGAGAACTGCATGCGGGAGTTACACTTCTCTTTTCCTGAGCGGCCCTCTCTCATCCCAAACACAGGGGGCGCTCAAAAACCGGCCTCAGGACAGCGCGCTGATTGGCTCTCCCGGGAAACAGTCGGCCGACGGGAAGCCACGGGATGAGGAAAAGCGTTTGCTTTGCAGTTTGGGTGCGGAGCGCTGGGTACTTGCCTCCAATTTGCTTTCAGGATAACTAGCACCAGGTGGCTGGGAGGTCCCCGAGATTTATTCCATAACTGTAGTCTTTTTTTTTTTTTTTTTCCTAGACTGAAGTTCGAGGAATTTGTCGTTGGCTGAAACTAGGATTAGATTTCTCAAACTTGCTTCGAAAGGAAACCCTGACGGCGAAAGAGAGTGAATTCCTATCGTATGACCCGCCATTTATTTGAAATTTCTAATTTTGTCTTAGAAATGAGGAATTATGCATTTTATTTTGTGGCATATTGTTTGTTTTAATTGAAAGTGTTTCAAGTCGCTGGATACATCCTTTTAGGTGAACCAGTTATTTTTCTGTTGCTTCAGCTGCGCGCCATCCTCAGTTGTGGACCAGCTTCTGACCGCTGTCACTTAGTTACCTAAGTACCGGGGAACTCAGAATCTGAACAGGCTGCCCAAAGTCAACTTAGTTACTAGTTTTAAGCTTTTTTATTGTTTGAAGGCACAGCCCAAATTGAGGGCCAAAATAACTAGATGCATTCAATTGGTTCATGATTGTTCTGATATTGCCTTAGTGATGTCTGTCTTCATATGCAGAGTGACATTTTGAATATGCCCCTTCAGAAGCCCCAAGAGCTGCTTTTTATCTTTCGAATATGGTGTAACAGGAAAACTTGATGTCAACAACATGAATATCCCTTTTTCAGTTTGCCTTGAAACCCATTCTTTGATTCAGACCTTACTTTTCCCTTCATAATCTTCAATCTTACCATTTGCATCTGACTTTGGTCAAAGCTTTTTTCACCTTGTGGATTTTTCTTTTTTTGTTTTTCCCTGTTACTGATTTAGTTTACCATTTCTTTAATTCCCTTATTTTCCAAGTATTTCACAAACTTTTTTCTTTGTTATCTTTTAGAAATACAAATTAATTTTTTCTCCTATTAAGAGCTGGTTTTTCCAGTTTTATGTCCTTTTTTTTTCTTATTTTCTCAAGACACTTTGGTGACTTGTTTTATGTTCTCTCTGTATGCTCTGGTAGCATGGTGCCTAAGGCACTTGACTGCTAACCAGAAGGCTGGCAGTTCAAACACATCTACTTCCATTGTGATACTGCCTTGGAAACACAAGGAGAGGTCACTATGAGTGTGGTGGACTCCACAGCACACAACAACTGTATGCCTTACACTTCCTCCACTTAGGGGCCTGGTTTTGGTTCAGGTTCCACTATCTTCTTGCTGTGTGACTAGGCAGTTGTCAATTCTCTCAGCATCAGTTTCTTGTTAATTAGGTAGTAGCTGTTGTAAGGATCAAATAAAATATTTGTGAAAGCACTTCATAGACCTTAAAGTTTTATTTAAAAAATAAAGATTATTATCTGGCCAAATACTCAACTTCCCACTCTCTTCCTAGTTAAGTTGTTGTTGTTATTTACCATCGAGTCAGACCTGACTCATAGCAACCCCTCCTTGGGTTTCCAAGGCAGAATCACTATGGAAGTAGATCACCCAACCTTCCTTCTGAGGAATGGCTGGTGGGTTTGAACCACCAGCCTTCTGGTTAGCAATCAAATGACTTAGGCACTATGCCACCAGAGCTCCCAGTTATTTAATCAGTTTTAAAAGTTGAACAAATTGCAAAATTAACTTGTTGAATTTTTCTAGTGTGGCAAAGGTAAGCAGCTTTTAAATTTAAACCACTATAGAAGAGCTGGACATAGAAAAGCTAGGTTCTAAACACCAGGACATCCAAATAACAATTATTTTAAAAGATTCTTTAAAAAAAAAAATCTTTCAAATTATGGTATTAGACTAAATAATGTAAGTTTATCTATTATGAATTACAGTTCTTTCCAGAAGGTGGAATTTTTTTTTTGTTTTGTACATTTCTGCATTGTTGTATTTCTTTATAATGAGCATGCATCATTTTTACAAGGACAGTCAAGTATGTGGCATGTGGCAGTTTTATCTGTCAGGCTACACATGACTAGTTGGTGATGATGTCACAGCAGCCTAGTCTCTGAGCTGTGGCCAGGGTGGAGTGGAATGGCTCTTGAAGTGATATCATGGCAGCCTAATTGATAATGATAAATGGTGACAGTTCTCAGTCATTTACCCTTTAGTTGGTAACAATGTCAAACTCTGGAAATGTTATTAATCCAGAAGAGGCTAGATCCCAGACAATAAACAGTTGGTTGTAGCATGTGTTGGCAAGTATTTTGTCAGTGTAAATTATTTTTTCATTTGTTCCTTTTGTTTTCTCTCTCTCTATATATATGCATATATATTTAATTTTTTAAAAAAATGTCTTCTAAATGTTCTGCTTGTTCCATTTAGCTAAGGAAGGGAAGGTGATAGTATCCCTATTTTATATACAAAGAAGCCAAACATGCCTGCCTTGCCCAAAGTCTGGCAATATTCAATTCCCCACATGTGAATTAGAGTTGGTGCTTCCAATGATTCTTTTCTCATTATAATCCTAAATAGATTAACAAAACTAATTACACTCATTTCTATTCTTTCCATAGGCATGAGGAAAGGGAAAATAACCCCACTCGCAAAAATACTTTTAAAAATCATAGATCTCTTTAATTTTCATGTGTTTGGATATTTAAAGAAGATTATTTGAAGACTGCTTTTGGAATCAAATAGCATGGATCCCAGCAGTGACTACCATTTCTTCAATCAGATTTTGTGGAGAAGGGTGAAACTCACATTGGTTTGTGGCATCTTTGAGGGGGTGCTCCAGCATGTGGATCCTAACAAGATTGTTGTCCTGAAGAAAGGTCTCATTCCATTTCTCATAGTCTTCTGTCCACTTTTCTTTTAAGAGGTTAATGACTGACTTTGGGTGGTGGCTTTGGGCTCCATGAACAACTGGGTTGTTGTTATGTGCTGTCGAGTCGGACCCGACTCATAGTGACCCCTCCTTGGGTTTCCAAGGCAGTATCACAATGGAAGTAGATGGGTTTGAACCACCAGCCTTCTGGTTAGCAGTCAAGTGCCTTAGGCACTACTCTACCAGAGCTCCTTGAACAACTGGGAGGGAGGCATTATTCCTACTTTAGGGAAGGAGTGGGGTGGGAGGAACATTAGAATGCTGTTTTCCCTAACACAGCAACATGGCTGCATAGTTTGTCCTCACTTCTATAGTCTTACTGACATGATAATTTCAATAGATGAAGGGTGTTTTTCCCCTGCTTAAATATTAACTTGCTAGAGTAATTGTTTTATTGGTATGATAAACTTCAAGTTCACTTGAAACATGTATAAATGACATTTGAGAGTTTAGTGTTTTGTTAAAATAGGCTTTTGAAGGCTGGGATAGGACTGTAAGCAGGCTTTTGCAACATTAATTAATTCAGTAATCATCTATTGATTGTTTATATCCCAGGCAGTGTGCAAGGTATCAAAGATACAAATAGGACTGATGGCCTCTGTTCTTAAAAAAAATTAGGAGATAGATAAGCAGGTAGACAAATATAATACAGTGTGATATCCTCTTGGATAGAGGCATGTACAAGATGCTATGGGATTCAATTAATTTAGATCTGGGAGTGCTTGGGTTGGGACAGTGGGTAAAGCTTCCAAAGGGAGGAATTGATGAATTGATGATAGAATTGCACTTGGGTGTGTAGGAGTTAACTGTATGGAAGAAGGACATTTTAAGTGGATAAAGACAGTGATTCTCAAACATTATTTGTGCATCCAGAATCTCCTGGGAGACTTGTTAGGACCCACCCCTAGAGATTCTGATTCTATAGCTCTGGGGTGGGACCCAAGATTTTGCATTTCTAACAAATTCCCAAGTGATGCTAATGTGCTTGGACCACACTTTGAGAACCACTGTCTTTAGCAGAAGGAATAGCATGTGCAAAGACTTGTTGTTGTTACTTGCCCTTGAGTTGGATCCAACTCATGGCTAGCCCATGTATGCAAAGTAGGGATGCTCTACAGAGTTTCCTTTTGGAAGCAAACTGCCAGGCTTGTCTTCTGAGGTACCTCAGGGTAGGTTCAAACCACCAAACTTTCTGTTAGTAGTTGAGCATTTAACCATTTGTGCCACCCAGGGACATAGAGATGTAGTATATTCAGAAAACCATAAGTAAATTCAGTATGTTGATGTGATGAGAGAGAAGGCTGGAAAGTAGGAGTGGGGCATATCTGAAGGATCTTACATTAAGTATTTGGACTGTATTCTGAAAGTAATGAGGAACAATCTGAAAGATTTTTTTTTTTTTTTT